CCCCATCTCTGCCCCCCAGCCACCGAGGCCTCTTGACGTGAGCTCTCAAGTCAGCTGTTGACCGGAGGCCGCCAAAGAGCGAGCGGACAGGTCCCGCTTCGCTTGCAGGAGACCAAAGGGGACAACCAACACAGGTGGAAAGAGATGTCCCAAGGCCGGGGGCGGTGAGGGTCTCCCGTTCCTCCAGGAGGGCTGGGGGCGTCTCAGCCTGCTTCCAGACCGAGGCGCATAGCAGGCAGAGTACCTAGAGACCCCAGACCGACATCGGCAAGTGCATGGGGGCAGCAGAAAGCAGCCGTACCCAGATGGCAGAGGGGGCAGATGACGAGGTCCTGCGGGCTGTCTCAGAGACCTTGCCTGTCCCTTAATGGGTGATATTCTTATTGCCCTGGATTTTCTATTAAGCAAGCTTCCTGACATCACTTGAAGGTGAGGGTACTTGACCCGTGTTTCAAAATTTTCCAGCAATGCTGGGAAATGGACTGCATCACATTCGACAAAATTCCATTCAAGTCATTACCCAGGGAGAGGCATTATAATTGCACAGATGTAAGTGCTCCATTTCGTGGGTTTAAAAATACCCCTTTCCAGGGCTGCAGCAGGCATTAAATGAGATAACGTGAGCGCTGCTCTTGGCACGGGCTTCTTATGAGTCTTTTCCCTGCAGTCTTGCAGAGGAATCGAAAGCTTCGCTCTGGCCCAGAGGCCTCGTCCTTGGCCTCAGCCCTGGCAGCTGCATTCTAATGGCTGTGCTAATGGATGTCGCTGATCCACAGGGACGGAGCCCCGGACCCGGATCTTAAAAGCCCCGAGTCACGGCGGGTGGAGGTTTTTAGTTGTTTGGGGGGTTTTTTGTTTTTGTTTTTTTTCCAGAAAGAGCTCTTCTATTTTTTCAAGCACCACAGGCAGCTCGGCCCTCTGCTTTCTGCAGCCAAAGCCTGTCCCTTGAGGAAATCAAGTTAAAGTCCTCGCAGACAGTGGCTTTAAATGCTCCTGGGGACGCATTCGAGACCTAAAGGATATACACGAGTCAACGTGGGAGAAACAGTATGTATCGAGCACTGACCACGTGTGAGAGATTAAATGACTGGCCCCAACTCCGCACCCCGCCCTGTACCCACGTCCTCGCCATGGCCTCATTTAGGGCGGAGTAATTTCATACTCCTTGAGTTGGGGCTTGACCGCGTGACTTGCTTCGGCCAATGGAAGAAGATGGAAGCGAGTGACAGCAAGACAGTTCCAAGCACGGGTCTTAAGGGGCCTCGCATGCTTCTGCCATCACCCCAAAAAGAACTCCCTTTGGGTAGCTGCTGCCCCATCAAGCTGGACTCCGGAAGAAACACACGTGGATCAGAGCCGCCCCTCCTAACCCGCAGTGAAACCTGTCAGCGAAAAACAAAGCTGCTGCTGTTGCCGTGTGACTCTGGAAGCAGAGTCACCCGGCCCAGCCAAAGCCTGAATCATCAGGACTGCCCCAGTCTGCCTACAGGGCCACAAGGGGCGGGGGGGGGGGGCGAATGATTGTTGTTTTAAGCCCCTGTAATTGGGGATAGCTGATTATGCAGCATTCTTGAGGCTGTAGCAAACCCATACACCCTGTGATAGAAATGAAAAATAGAATGGGGGGGAAAGAAATAGGGAGAGAGAAGAGAACAGGACCGAGAGAAGAGGTGTCCCGTGGGCACTCACCGCAGCTAAAGACTGGCACGGCCCCGTGGGGTGTTCTCAGCTATAGGCCCATATCGTGATGACGGACCCTGGTGTCACATAGCCCGCTGGGGATCCTGAGAACCAAGGTCAAACCAAGCCCAGAAGGAGGGGAGTCTCAGGGATGCAGGAAAGGAAATGGAGGACGGGGAGCAAGCAGGACCGCAAGGGTCCAGGAGGACCAGATCTGCGCTGGAGGAGAGAGAAGATCAGGGATGAGAAGTTACCCCTCACTGAGACACCGGCACAGCTTTGGAAGGCTGGACATGGCCAAGGCAGCAAGGGAGAGCCAGGACTGAGCCCATCTCCTGTGGGGGGAACAAGGCAGGTACCAGGTTTTAGGAGGGAGGAGCCCGAGAGAGCAGGAAGAAGTCTAGTAACTAGACAGAGCGTATTTGGCTTGTAGAATATCTAAATAAGTATGTGCTGAATAAATCAATGAACTCCACTTTAACATGGGCTCCACTAACCCCACTTTGGGGCCAGGAGGCTTCATTCCACAGAGCAGTAGGCGCTTTTCCCAACTCCCCAGGACGGCAAGGAACAGACCAAGGGAACCATAAAATAAGCTGGTCCCCTCCACGCAAAGGCCATTCCAGGAGGACACCAGCCTAGCTCCCGGGGGCATCGAAGGGGAAGACTGCAGGCGGAAGAAAGCCTTTCTCCTGGAAGCCTGGAACCCCCACCAGGGTGTGGTGTGGTTGTTGCTATGGATACTGATGCCGTCTTCGTGCAAGGTTGTCCAGAGACTTCGCTTGTCTCCAAAATTCGGAAGAGCTGGCCCTACCGGGCCCACATCCGGAAGGTTAGCATCTCAGATCCGACCCCTCCCTGACACAGGACGGGATCTCTCTGGGTTGCCCCAATCCCCTCCCCACCCAGCCTCTGTTGCCATTTATCATGGCATTTGGACGGCAAATTTATATTCTCATATTTTTTGTATTTGTTTCTTATATAAAAATACGATTTCTCAATACAAACGTCCATGAAAACTGGGACAATAAAATGAGAGAGAGGACTCGTATCGTGAACAGGAGGAAGGTTCCGGATTGTTTAGAATGCAAAGGCCTGGGCAGGCCCCTGCTCGGTGAGCCCCGGGTCTGGGCGCACTGCAGACACCCCTCCCCGCAGCCCCTCAGTCCCCCTTGGCCAGTGAGGGAGGGCTGGGCAGGGTGAGGGGGTGTCTCCTCCCAAGCAAGAGGAGAGCAGACGCAGCCCACCTTCCAGCTCTGTCTCCTGGAAGAAGAAAAATAAAAGCCCCTAAAAGAGAAGAAATCAAATGGACAAAAGCCAAGAGATACCAAGTGGCTAGCACCCAAACCCAGTGCATTGGGGGGGGGGGTCTTTATTCTTCCTATAAATACATCCCAGTTGCTCCCAAGGACCCAGACCTGCACTTTCCAGGAGTGTTAACCCCCAGCTCTAAGGGTGCTTTTGCAATTCCATACTCTCCAATGGATCTCCCAGGTTCCCGAAATAAACACCCATGTCTGATTATCACGTTTTTTTTAAAACGTAGGAGGATCATAACATGTACCGAAAACCCTCCAATTGTTCCCTATCTAACCGAGAGCAAGAGCCAAAGTCCCGCAAGGCCCTGTGCCACCCACCCCCAATACCCACACAGCCTCACCCTCACCTCCCCCCTTCCACCCCTCTGACCTCGTCTTCAGCCCTCACTCGTTCCATTAGTCACATTCACTGCCTTGGGGTTCTTCAAACACCTGCTGCCCCAGGCCCTTTGCACTTACTGTTCTCACTGTACAATGCTCTTCCCCAAACTGCTACACGGCTCCCTCTGCTTCTCCAGTTCCTTTAGGTCTTTGCTCGAGTCCCACTTAAGCAGAGATGCCTGTATTGGCTCTTCTGTCTACATTCACTGTTCCTCTTACTCCACTTCACTTTTCATTGCCTCAACACAATCTGACTGACGTGTCAGGTACTTACGTGTTTGTCTTTCTAATTTTCATCTCCCCTACATGACGGTAAAAACTTTTTTTGTTGTTCACTGCTCTTTCTCCAGTGTCTGTAGCAGTACTTTTTGGTACGTAGACATGGCCAATAATTATCTGCTGAACGAATAAATGAATGAGCAGCTCTAGAGACAGGCACCAAGGCCAGACGTTGGCAGGACTTCTGGTAGCTTAAGACCTAGGGAAGTGCACACAGTAGGTCCTACAAGTAGCTCAGAGCCCAAAATCGGGATGCAGCCAGGCCTCAGGGGCTTCTAGAAAGGAGAATACAGAAAGGGCTCTCTCTTTCTCTCACTCTCTGGTTTCTTTCTGCACATTTGCTCCCACTCCCCCTTATCGGCAGCCTCTCTTACTCGGCCCACAGGGACAGATCAAAGAGAACTAAATAAACAGCTGCCTCATTTCCCATGTTACTGTAGACCCGGCTGTCCAGTTAGTTCTCTGTTTTGCTCTTTCCAAATTTCCAGGGAAAGAACCCTGCTTGGGCCCGAGTTGCCAAGTGCCCACCCAGGTCCCATCGCTGTGGTCCAGGAAGTGAGGCCATGTTCACAAACATGGATTCCAGGAGCCCGCCCTGTGAATGGAGAAGAAACAACATTTAATGGCATGCCTGAGAGCAGGGGAGACATCCTAAAAAAGAAGGTACTGGAAAACCCCTTTCGCTGTGAGATTTCTGCTCGCCCAGTAGGAGAATGGAGTAGAATGTTTGCTCCAATGAAGGGAGCCACCCTTGCAGCCCATTCAGCTCGAGATTTGTGCCAAGCCTTTTCCAGCCCTCGAAACAAATCTCCATCCCAGCCAAGCAGGTGTGGTAAGTGCGTCTCCTGCCCACATGGGAGTAGGCTTCCGTTTGAGGTGCTGCCTCAAGGGGGCACTCAAACCCAGGGCTCTAACTCTCCCCCAGATCCCCTCCACTGGGTGGCTGCTGGTAATGGTAAGAGGGTAGGACCTAAGGGCTCAGGAATCTTGGCTCGGCGCCCAGTGCTGCCACAATCTCTTGAAGGATGACACATCCCAGGCAAATTCACTCGCTCTGTTATGAGTTGGAGGATCGACTCGCACCGCAGTGTAATTTCCAGAAAAGCAAAGGCAGGAGGCCTCAGCTAGAGGCGGGCCTGAGGACTACGGGGCAGTCGAACAAAATGGGAAGAAACGCATGCATCGGAAACGTGAACAGGGGTTAGTGGTGGGAAGCCAAAGGGCTCTGATTTTTTTTTTTTTTTCCACTTGGCATCTAGAAGGTCTAAATGTTCTCATGAACATGAATTGCTTACATAATTCACTCGGTAATGTCAATCTGGGGTTCTTGTCAGCAGGGGACTATCCTGAATAAAGCCGTTTGGGACGTCGTGTGCAAGTGGCCAGATGTCTTCACTTCTCTTGAGTGAACCGTTGGAGTGGAGTCGATGGGTTGCACCGAATCTACAGGCCAGCATGTAAAGCGCTGGCACCTGAAAATTCTGTCTTCCAACCCGTGAGTATGGCATAATCTCTCCATTTTCGGGCAGGGTCCCTTCGATTTCCCTCAGCAGTATTTTTCGGGTTCGATGTACACGTCTTGCACGTCCTTTGATAGTATATTCCCGAATGGTTTCCAGTTTCGATGCTGTTGTGTCATTTGAAAACCTTTTGAGCTTATGAAGTGTCACTTTGACTTTTGCTGCCATGCTGGTTTTTGTAAATACAACCGATTTGGACAATTTTGTTGAGTTCACTTGTTAGTTTTAGCAGCTTTGGGGGCGGGGAGTCCTTAGGACTTTGTAACGTAAACAATCATGTTATGCACGAAGAAAGCTTTACTGCTTCCTCTCCGACCTTCATGCCTTTCTCCCCACGCACTCCCCTTCTGTCATTATGCGGGGTGGGGGGGGGTGGGGGGGACCTCCGCAGACACTGGATAGAAACAGTGAAAGTGTACATCCCCGCCTCCTCCCAATCTGAAGATGAATGCACTCAGTATATTCAGTATATTGGCACAAAGAATTGTATTTGTTGATTTTCTTCATAGAAAACTTTTGTAAGATCGTGGAAGCTTCCTTGGGGCGCCTGGGTGGCTCTGCTAAAGTCGCTGGACTTTAGCTCAGGTCATGATCTCATGGTCTGTGGGTTCGAGCCCCGCGTCAGGCTCCATCCTGACAGCTCAGAGCCTGGAGCCTGCTTCAGTTTCTGTGTCTCCCTCTCTCTTTGCTCCTCCCCCACTCATGCTGTCACTCTCTCATTCTCTCTCTCTCAAATAATAAATAAACATTTTTTAAAAAAGAAAAAAAAAGAAAAAAAGATTCCACTTCGGGGAGAGCCAAAACTGTCATTAAGTTAAATCTCAGTTTGGTGCTGTGGGGCTTAGCATAAGTGACTCTATTTAGGCCCGTTGTCTGCTTTTTAGCATTTATAGTCCATTTCCCTTTTAAAGAAAGTGTGTCTCTAACGAGCAAAATCTTCCTATAAACAGTGGTAAATTGTATAAATCCAATAAAATAGTCTTATACCATTTTTAAATTTAGGTATTCTTAAACAATACTTATCTGCAACGTTGGTTGACAAATAGAATCTTTTTCAACTTTATAATCACAAGATTAAATCTCTGACTGAAGTACACCATTAAAATTGGAAACTGAATTCTGTCACACGTACCAAGTTCTTACACACAAGTTAAATACTCAATATGCACAAATTGTTCTTAAAATGAATGCCCCAAATAAGATTTTCATTGGTTCATTTTATTTTCTGTTTTCTTTCAATAATTATAAACATCCCTAAGATCCCTAGGTTTTTTTAAGTTACTGGCTAAGAGGATAGTTTTTAACAGGATGCTACTGCCCCCTAGAGGACATCTTGGAGATTTTCATTTTATTTTATTTTATTTTATTTTATTTTATTTTATTATTTTTTTTTAATTTTTTTTTCAACGTTTATTTATTTTTGGGACAGAGAGAGACAGAGCATGAATGGGGGAGGGGCAGAGAGAGAGGGAGACACAGAATCGGAAACAGGCTCCAGGCTCTGAGCCATCAGCCCAGAGCCTCACGCGGGGCTCGAACTCACAGACTGCGAGATGGTGACCTGGCTGAAGTCGGATGCTTAACCGACTGTGCCACCCAGGCGCCCCTATTTTATTTTATTTTATTTTATTTTACTTTTTATTTTATTTTACTTTATTTTACTTTGCTTTGCTTTACTTTACTTTATCTTGTTTAGTTTAGCTTAGCTTAGTTTAGCTTAGTTTAATTTAGTTTAATTATGACGGACGTATGTTACCAGTACCTATGTACTTAGGGACCAGGGATGCAGGACCATCTCTCACAGCTAAAAGTTATCCTGTAGAAATTTCAAAAGTCCCTTCATGTAAACAAAAAACTAATTAACTATCCGAGCCTAGAACGTTACCGTATTTTGTACGTATTTTTTTTGTAGTTTTAACGTAGAGAGAATTTTTCAGTAATTGCAACTTTCTTGCAAATCAGGGAGATTGTACTTTGGTTTGGTCTGAACTTTACCAACTGAACTTTACCACCATGTGTGATATTGTCATTTATACTAAATGTATATTGTGGACTTAGAACAAGGTTCCCGGCCTCACATTTCCTCGAATTCCTGGAATTTCCTGAGCCGTAAGAGCAAGGGGAGAATCTTTCTTTTGTCATAATAGTTGGTCTCTTGTCCTCAATCCCTGAAGTCACTTCAGGGCCATGAAGGTGAAGTGTCTGTCTTGTTATTCACAACAACCCCCTCAAACACCGCTAAGCTTTTGTTAATGTGGCAACTCCTTTTGGAAATCTCCTAAAGGGGTGGGGCTCGCTGGGACCAGAGCAATGAACTAAGAAATACAGGGCTGGAACTTTCAGCCCCACCCCCTCATTTCCAGGGACCGGTGAGGGACTGGAAGTTGAAGCAATCACCGATGATCAATGATTGATTCAATCATGCCTAAGTAATGAAGCCTTTATAAAACCCCCCAACGAGAGGGTCCAGAGAGCTTCAGGTTTTCCTGAACCAGAATGCTTTCACCTGCCACCGGGCCAGGCCCCGAACTCCATGAAGACAGAAGCTTCTTTGCTGGGGACGTCGCCCTACGTAGCTCCTGATCTGGCTGTTGATTCATAGCTTGACTGTCTTTTGTAACAAACTGGCAATCTAGCGAGAAAACCGGTCCCCGGAGTCGTGTGAACTGCTCTAGAAAATTAATCCAAACCCAAGGAGGGGGTCATGGAAACCTCTGATTTATAGCCACTTGGGCAATATCACAAAGTAACAATCTGGACTTGTAACTGGCATCTGAAGTGGAGAACTGTCTTGTGGGACTGCGCTCTTAACCGATGGGATGTGACCCTATCTCCCCGGAGATGTGTCAGGACTGAGTTGAATTGGAGGACACCCAGCTGGTGTCAGAGAATGACTTGGTGATGCGGAAGAAAATTCCCCGCACGTTATAATTGGTGCCAGAATTATATACCATTTTGGAAAATCGTGTTGCTGGTGGCAATGTTATTCATGGTACTTGAATCAGTCTGTATTTGCAGCTGCCACATTCATGGTGACTATATATAGATAAATGGATAAAGATACATAGATAAGTTTCTGAAGCATTTGTTTCAAATTATCAAACATAAAAAATGTTAAGAACTTTCAGATCAATATTATATTGTATCAAAACTTAAGCAGGCATGGGGCGCCTGGGTGGCTCAGTCGGTTAAGCATCTGACCAGCTCAGGGGGTGATCTTGCAGTTCGTGGGTTCGAGCCCCGCATCGGGTTTTGTGCTGACAAGCTCAGAGCCTGGAGCCTGCTTCGGATTCTGTGTCTCCCTCTCTCTCTCTCCTGCTCAATGCTCTGTCTCTCTCTGTCTCTCAAAAATAAATAAAAGTTAAAAAAAAGTTTTGAAAAACTTAAATAGACACAAGCAACTTATTCATTATATTTTTCTGGTATAATAGTGCTTAAGCACATAGATATTGAAATATGCGTTATTTTATTATAAGTAATTGCCTTTTATTTCTCTTTCGAATTGCAGTTTGGGCGATATATTGCATGTAGCTAGATGATATTATCTATGAATTTCATTTCAGGATAGTGGAAAGCATTACAAAGTATCTTTAAACTTCATAAAAAGAAATAGTCATGGACCAACAACTCTGATACCGCTATTATATTGTGGAACTGAAAAATTAAGTAAGTGGATGATGGAAGGAAAGAGCAGTGTTTTTCCCTACTAGAGTGGGAGTTAACAGATAAGAAAGAAGAGGAAGCAGGGTGCTTGGATGCTCAGTGGGTTGAGCGTCCGACTCTTGATTTTGGCTCAGGTCATGATTCCAGGGTCATGGGATCGAGCCCCACATCGGTTTCCTTGATGAACGTGGAGCCTCCTCGCTGAACATGGAGGCTGCTTAAGATTTTTCTCTCTCTCTCTGTCCCTCTCCTGCTGCCCGCCCCCCCAAATTAAAAAAAAAGAAAAGGAAGAAGAAGAGAGGAAGCAAGAATGATCCATGTGGTAATGCATTAGGGTCTGAGGTATCAGTATGAGCTCATGTTTAGTTCAACATTGATACAAGCGGTCACAAATGACAATACAGTATAGACAGGTGTACCCATGTGGGTTAGTATACACGCGTATATCTCTTTGCTCTGTAGCTCAGAGGGTCTTAGAAGCAATGATAGCCCAGTAGCAATGAGCACACCTAGCTTGCACATATTGCTAATTACGTGCTCCAATAAAAGAAACCGGGACTCCAGTACTAGGACTGGGACAGGAAATATACAAAATAAGTCTGGAGCCGCTTGTAGTGCCACAAAGCAATGAAGTGCTAAACTCACACACACACACACACACACACACACACGTGCACACACCCACCCACATCGATGGACGTATGTCAAAGAGACACAGGCACCAACGGAAAGACTGCCAGTGGCCGAAGCTGGAAAAACTTGAGGAAGACAATAATTAAAGCAATATCGAATTATGCAACAAAGTATAAAATAAATACCAATGCATCCATACTGAGAGGGGTGCCTGGGTGGCTCAGTCTTTTGAGCTTCTGACTCTTGATTTCAGCCTAGGTCATGGTCTCGGGGTCGTGGGATCGAGCCCTGAGTCGGACTCCACATTGGGCATGGAACCTGCTTGAGATTCTCTCTCTCTCTCTCTCTCTCTCTCTCTCTCTCTCTCTCCTCTGCCCCTCTCCCCTGCCCTCTCTCTAAAAAATGTAAATTAATGAAATAAAGAAAAAGGGAAGAAGTGACCAATCTCCTGTGCAGAGAATCACAAATAAGTTATGAAGATACTCCACCCTCAAACAGGTGGGGTGTAATTCCCTAATCTAAGTGTGGGCTGCAGTTTCTTCCTTCCCAAAAGAACAGCAGGGAAAGGAATGGGTAAAAGCGACTTCACAGAGGAACCTGGCAAAAACTCCCTTACTCAGCCAAGTGCTCAAGTCCCCCTCAACCATGGTAAGTCCTGTTGATAGCATGTACGTTTGACACGATGTGACAAGAATGGCACTCTACCTCTGTGGTCTTCCTCCCCCAAACCCATCACTCTAATCTAATTACGAGGGGGAGAATTCAGACAAATCCTACTGAAGGAACATCCTCCAAAACACCTGACCAGTACGCCTCAAAACTGTGAAGGTCATCAAAAGAAAAAAAGAAAAAAGGAAAGTCTGAAACACTGTCACAGCTAAGAGGAGTTTAAGGAGACACGATGACTAAATGTAATGTGATGTCCTGGATGGGATCCTGGAACATAAGAACATTAGGTCAAAACGAAAGAAATCTGAATAAAGGATGGGCTTCACTTCACAATAATGTGCCAACATTGGATCATGACTTCTAACAAATTACCCTGTTAATATGGGATATCAATGATAAGGAACCTGGGTGTGGGGTATATTTGAACTCTCTGTACTATCTGCAATTTTTCTGTAAATCTAAAACTTCCTTTAAAAATAAAGCTTATTGGGGTGCCTGGGTGGCTCAGTCGGTTGAGCGTCCGACTTCGGCTCAGCTCACGATCTCACAGTCTGTGAGTTCGAGCCCCGCGTCGGGCTCTGTGCTGACAGCTCAGAGCCTGGAGCCTTCTTCGGATTCTATGTCTCCCCCTCTCTCTGAACCTCCCCCGTTCATGCTCTGTCTCTCTCTGTCTCAAAAATAAATAAACATAAAAAAATTTTTTTTAAATAAAGCTTATTTAAAAATATCTCATCCTTATACAAAAACAACCACAAAATTGTATTAAGGAATATGAAAAGAAACTTGAATAAGTGGAAAGACTTATCATGCTCCTGGATGTAAAGAATAGTTTCTGTAAAGCTTTTCTTCCTGAATATTTATTTTAAAACTTAATTTCAGGAGCGCCTGGGTGGCTCAGTCGGTTAACCGTCCGACTTCGGCTCAGGTCACGATCTCACAGTCTGTGGGTTCGAGCCCGGGATAGGGCTCTGTGCTGACAGCTCGGAGCCAGAAGCCTGCTTCCGATTCTGTGTCTCCCTCTCTCTCTGCCCCTCCCCTGCTCATGCTCTGTCTCTTTCTTACACAAAAATAAATAAAAACATTTAAAAAATTTAAAAACTAAATTTCAATCAAAAGAGGAAGGTTGGGTTTTTTTTTTTTTTGGAAATTGAAGAAATATTTTTAAAGTTCATCTGAAGAATTAAAAGGTAGGAAGAGCCAGAATATTTTTAAAAAAATTTTTTAACGTTTTATTTATTTTTGAGACAGAGAGAGACAGAGCATGAACGGGGGAGGGGCAGAGAGAGAGGGAGACACAGAATCAGAAGCTGAGCTGAAGTCGGACGCCCAACGACTGAGCCACCCAGGCGCCCCCAGAATATTTTTTAAACCTAAATCAAAATGAGCAGACATTAAATCGAACATAAGTTTATAAACGTTACAACAGGGTGACACTGTTGCCAAAAGAGATAGTTCATTGAAACAGAAAATTCCAAAACACCTATCCTGGTATACCTATACCAGTACGTGCATTTTGAATATAAAGATAGAATTTCAGGTCAGAGAGGAAATGAAAGATGATTTAATAAATGATATGAGAACAGCTAAGACATGTATAGGTATATGCAAAGCGCCCTGTATGTGCCAAACTGAATTCCAGATGGACTTAAAAATGAAACCCCAGAACCTAAAGACAAAACAGGTGATGACGTACCTGATAGCTAACGAGAACAACCCTTTTAAGCACACAAAGATAAAAATAATAAAGGATCGGCAAATCTGTATAAGTATGAAAAAGTTTTGTGTTAAAAAGGGCAAAAAATAAGTAATGAACTTGAAACAAAATTCGGCAACATCCGTAAGAAGGGATTAAGAGAGTTAATATGTAATTCCTATATATCTGCAAGGGGGAAAAAAAAATAACACCTCCGTAGGAAAAAGGATGTGAGAAGATAACTTACAAAACAAGGACTGCATACGCCTAATAAACTTAAAAATAGTTAGCCTCTGTTGGGACGCCTGCGTGGCTTAGTTGGTTAAGTATCGGGGCTTAGCTCAGGCCATAGTCTCGCAGCTCATGAGTTTCAGCCCCGTGTAGGGCGCTGTGCTGACAGCTCAGAGCCTGGAGCCTGCTTCGGATTCTGTGTCTCCTTCTCTCTCTGTCCCTCCCCCACTAGTGCTCTGTTTCTCTCTCTCAAAAATAAATACACGTTTAAAAAAAAAAAAAGCCTCTATTAACTTTAAAAATAAAACTGCCACATATTTTATCAGTAAAAATTGGTCTATTCAGGAATAGCGGAGAATTACAATCCCTGACACAGAACCTACGGCAAAGCCATAGGCAAGCCTGGGGAACAAAGAAATAAGCTCTTTGGGTAATGGGTAAAAGGGAATGGGTAAGTTGGGAGGGCTGTTAGATAAACAAAAAGTCCGTTGGAGTCAACTCGAAGTTCAAAGCAGACTGGCTCTTCATTGGCTCTGTTGTGTGGCTCTCTTTTTGGCTGGGCTGTTGCCAGAGTAGGCGGAAAACCTTCCTCCGCCTGGGGTAGTAAAGCAGTAACCAAAGTAGTATCTACTTGGAACGTAGGTCTCTTCCGGTTGGGGGTCTGCAATTGACAAGGAGCGGTAGGGCGTGAGAGCTCCCCCTGCTGGCCTCGCAACTCCATTTTAGCGAGGTTTCCTTTTATTTTCGCACCTCATTAGTGGTAAAAGAAATGTAAATAAGTCACAATTTTCCACCTTTCACCGCAAATCTTTTCTTTTTTTTTTTATTGACAAAGGTAACTGTTGGTGAGGAATAGGAAAAAAAATAGATCTTCTCACATACTTTTGAGAGATGGGTAAACTGACAATATTTTTGGAGAGCATCCTAACAATAAATATCAAGTTCCATAAGAAATGCATAGTGTCCGACCCAACAACTCTACCTGTAGGAACATATTATCAAAAAACTATTTGTGCATGGTGACCTAAGCACTTCCTGCCACTTATAAGAACTCATAAGAACTTATAAGCACTTATCAGCACTTATAAGAACAAAAATTGGAAAGAATTTAAACCCTTGGGGGGTGGGGGTGCTGATACATTGAACTACAGCACATTCACAGGATAGCTGTTTGATGATAAGTACAAAACACATACAAGTTCTAGAAAAGGCAAACGTGTAGGGACATAAAAACAGATGAG